TGTTACAGTGTATTGGTATACAGCATTACTAATGAAACGTGGATACTTCAGCGAACAGTCAATCTAGGTTTGAAAAAGATTAATGCAATACTGCCTTTGTATATGGTTGCCTTTAAAGCTTCCGATTTACTGTCGCAACCGTCATTAAACAAACAAAACGTGAAAGTTAGTGTCTTAGTGAATTGCTTATCAGTCAGAATGTCGGTAATTGTACCCATATTTATATATATTTGGTTGTAAGCTGCCAAGCACATCTAGATATCGACGATATCACATTCATATTTGCGAAATCACTGAACAGACTAACGAGTAGCGATTTTATATAGATTATTAATTTAGTTGGTTTTTTTTCATCAGTGGATCGCATTTTAGCATAATTTTGTATCTGGATTCATTTCAGGAGTTTTTTTCTCATTCAGCTCTAGAGCTGCGATTTTAAAGTTTCAATAAGCTATCTACAGTGGCGGATCCAGACTGCCCTAGATCCGCCACTGATTCTTTCTATCTAGTCCAACGACAGCTCCATCAGTGAAATCTGTTGTTAGTTTACATACTTTGAGTATTTCAAGACTCATTTTGACCAACCCTGTTTACCCTTATTCAGAAATGAGGGTCGTTAACATCAGAAATATTTCGGTTATGACCAGCTGGCGTCACTTCGTGTAAGTTCTATTAAAAGAGGCCTCTGCATGCTGCTTGTAAATCAAAATAACTTCAAAACATGCGCACTCTGATCTAGTCGCAACTAAAGCAAAGAATGCATAAATTAAACTGAATGAAAAATGTTTGTGATATTTGCTGGCATCATTTGTTCAGGAGAGAAAATGATTGGTGTGTCAGGAGTGTTGAGTTAGGCTATCCATCGGACTTTCAAGCTCTGGATTTATTTTTTATTGGCTGCTTTAACGGTCTTATAACCCGCCGAAGAAAAATCGGTCCTTGTTTTAAAACGTTGCCTTGTCTGGGTTATGGCAACGCTCTATGTCATACAGTTTCGTTTGTCGTTTTGCGTTAACTGAATTACACTGAGCAATGTCTGTTGAAAACACAATTGTATTGCGCTTGAGAATATTGACGGTGTAACTCATAAAGCGGAAACTGTCTGTAAGGTAGCTTGTGATAAGTTGAGTTACTCGAAATATGCAAATTTCCAAAGTGCTTATGTGCCGATCAATTCGAAGCTTCAACTCCACCNCCCCCGCAAGAGTAACCCACAGGCATTTGACGCAAGAGGCCTTCCCGGAGGTGGGGTATATGAACCTTGCCTGGGTAGGGTGGGCAATTTGAGCCGGAAGTGTCAAGTCTTTCCAGTGGAATACGCGTGGTTGGAAAGGAAATCATTTTTGAAGGTATGTTTAAAAGCTAGAATGTATTTGAGTTGTGTGATTTTTAGGTTTTAAAGCTTGAATCACAAATCAATTGCTGGTCAGTGTGTAGAAAGTCACGGTCGCTGATCTTGCCTTGATAAAATTATTGTTCTCCTCAGAGCATGAACTGGTATTGAATAGTGAATGAACAAACGCTGTAAAATGTACGACAACCTCTCTCAAACATTATTATATATAACTCATTCGAAGGTATCGCATTCAGTTGCAAAACGCGTCTAGAATCATAAAATTTTTCACACCGTGGAATGACGTTTGCAAGTGAAAAACCCAACAGCGGCGTCAAAAACTAATACGCGGCTTTGCTAAATTTTACAGCATTCGTTGATCACACAAGGAATCCTTCAATTAAAAATTGTTCAAAAGTAAATCTGCAATCAAAATCCGGCACTTGGGTAGGGCATTTGAACGCAATCTTGGCTCATGGGGGAGGGGGGGGAATTTAAACGAACCAATCTTCAAGAGTTCAAATGCCCGCGGGGTTCTCCGGGGGATGTTGAAGCTTGAAATTGATCGACGCATAAGGTATTGGAATTCACGCAAGAATACATAACCGGAGATAGTTCTCACAATAGGAATTTGTGCACTTTGAAGAGTGTCTTTTATGTCGTTTGCGTGCGGACAAAAAATGCATATAAATTTATAGAAAATATGCGAATAAAGGAAGTACCGTTTATGTGTGAAAATAGTCTTAGATTTGCTAGCTTACAGGTCACCAGTAGCCTGCAGTGCAGGCGTCTTATTGGGGCGAGTTAGCGTTACAACCTTGCGACCGCCTTTTCAGACCGCCATGTTAGACCGCCATGTTAGACGG